GCCTCCCGCCCCCTCGGTGAGGAGAAAGGGAACCCCCGCGGCGAGCGTTCCCTTGAAATTAGGGGCTCTCTTGTTAGAATGCGCCCCAGGCCCCAGCAGTGGCCACGTCTCCCCACTTAGATCCCAGGCCCCGGGACTGTGACGCTTTCCGCACCCCAAGGGAGCCACTGGGGTCCTCACCCTGCCTCTCCAGACCCCGTGGCCCCGTGCAGCAGACGGGAGGGCCCAGCCTGGGGTTTTGCGTGAACCCCCCTCACCTACATGGGGCGCAGGGGCCTCCCCGAGGGAGGCAGTGTGGTGGGGGTGCTCAGAGCGCTGGGGTCGCTTGTGGCTGAGGCCCAGGCTCTGAACGCCCGGACCCCTCCGGCCTCAGCTTACGCACCTGTGAAAGGGGCAGCTTGGACGGGAGGCTCATTTGGTTTCGGCTCATTTGGTTTCGAGGGGGGTGGTCGCCACGTGGGGGGTGTGGGAGGAGCCGGGCATGGTGAAGGGAAGGGGGTGGCTGACTGTCCCTTCTCCGCCCAGTGGGCAGGCATCTGGGCCCCTCATCCACGGAGCCCGCCCACTCCACGCTTGGAAGCAGGTTGGGGGTTCTCCCTGATGACAGATGCTCCCAGCCCTGGCCCAGGGGCAGGGAGTTAGTGGTCCATTTGCGGAGCCCCAAAGTTGGCTCCACCTTGGAGGGCCACCCCCCTCCATGCCCCTACGGTGCATATCAAATGCAGGCAGGACATCCACGGTCCCTTTGAGCCCAGTCTGCCTCTGTAACCACTGCGTCTGCTGTTCTGCTAAAAGACGTGGGTCTCCTCCTGCGGTCTCTTAAGGGGACGCTGCAAAGTTGAAAATGTGGGGGGCTGCCTGGGAGGATGCTTCGGCAGACATGTGTAGTTCAGCCTCTAGACCCTGCCGCTCACTGCTGTGTGGCCTTGGGATGTCACCTGACCTCTCTGTGCCTTGGCTTCTGCATCACTCAAATGGTGGTGATTTTCCGGGTGGGGTCCGCAGAGAGTGCTCGGGCTCAGCACAGCCCAGCACGCGTTCTCCATGACTGGTGAGCCTCAGCCCTCCCCACAGGCTCCCTTTGGCTTCCCTTCTGAGCATCCTGCCCTGGGCTGGAGAGGCTGAGAGGCAGCTGCCTTCCCATCTGGCCTCCTGAGGTTCTCACAGAACAGACACTGTCCGATCTCCCAGAGGAAGCACCCTGGGGCCTGGCCCAGGCCCAGCCTCCTGCAGCTGTGGGCCGAGGCCCCAGAAACCTGGGGGAAGGCAGCGGTCAGGGCCCAGCGTGTGTCTGGTGCTGGGGCCTCAGCCTTATCCTTACCCCACCCTCTGCTCTTTCAGAGAAGACCGGTGGGTGGCAACCTGCACCCATACTCCGAGCAAAGCCCCCCTTTTCCAGTCAGCGGAGCCGCCTTTGTGTGTGGCTGTGCCTCGACTACTCTCCAGCGGGCTCACCGCCAGCCTTAGCTTTTCTTGCGAGAACTGTTCACTGGACAGAACGGGGGAGGACAGACATAGGCGAGCCATGGAAGCAGCTTGGTGGGTGCGGTTTGGAGGCCCAGGGATCTCACAGTAGGAGGAACTCACACATTTGCTCTCCTGTCGAAAAGCCCACAGGTACACGCCCCGCGGACCACACAGGGTGGACCAGTGAACCCCAAAGTGGGGGGCAGTGACACAGGTGATTTCGGGGCTTCCCAAAGGAATAGCTTTGAAATCAACAGTCCCAAGTTGAGAGTTGAGCTGTGGATTGGAAGAAAAGTAACTCGTCCAGGGCCTCCCTGGTGGCCTAGGGGCTGAGTCTCAGGCTGTCACCACTACGGCCTGAGTTCGAGTTCGATCCCTGCCAGGGAGCTACCCACAGGGCACAGCCGGCCTCTCTTGCCTCCCCGCTGCTCCCTCGGCAGTGGATTTCAGTGGATCCGCCTGTTCTGCTCCCCGCTCTGTCTCTGGGGAGTCCTCTCTGTCCTGCACCCCAGTTCTATGCAAAAATAAATAAATAGATGATTGAAAAGTAACTCATCCAATCGTGACCTCCTGGTCGGGATTGCTTGGTGGAAGCCAAATTGTGAATTGAGGTAAAGAAAAATATGGAGAAAGCACGTTCTCCATATGGAGAAATATGGAGAAAGCTTCACGGGGTGAAGCTCCGGAGGTGGGGTGTGCAGGACCCGGAGACAGGGAGCATGCGTGTGGAGGGCAGCCCGTGCTGGGGAGCTGGCCCTGTCTCCACCTGTCTCGCTGCTGTGCAAGCACCTGGCCCACCTATGCGACCGGCCTGCTGTGTCCAAGGTGCCTGCCTGGTGTGAGGGCCTCAGTCCCTGGGGGTTCAGTCCTGGGGTTCTGGGAGCCTGTCCTGGGACGGGACCCTGAAGCGAGCCCCCAGGCCCAGTGAGTGAGCGGGGAAGGAAAGACGCAAGCTGTCCAGGCCCAAAGAGCAGACAGGGGCCGGAGGCTGGAGAGGGAAGACCAAGGAGAGTTTGAGGAGCTCCAGGAGGCCGAGCCCCGCGGGGTACAGGAGGGCCTGAGGTGAGAGCGGAGCATCTCGGGGCTGGATTGCGCGGTACCTGCACACCACGGCAAGGATTGTGGGTGCTGCCGTGTATCTAGCCAGCCAGCGCCGTCGTGCTCCTGCCCTGCTAGGCCTGGAGGGGTCACGGAATCTCCCCCGCAGCCTTTTGAACACACATCGGAGCTGGGAGAGAGGCATAAGCTGGGGGTCAGGGAAGCACAGAAGGGAGAGGGGCTGCTACGCATGAGGCAGTGACCCTGGAGCTGGGTTGTGGGGGATGCAGAGGACTTTGACAGGAGGGAGAGAAAAGACAGCAGAGCGAGAGGAGCAGAGAAAAAGCCCAGAGGATCTGGGGAAATGCTGTCAGCTGGAGGCCAGAGGGTCAAGTTCACAGGTCTTGAGACTCAGTCCTGAGCTGAGGTTTCGTCATCCCACAGGCGGTGAGGAGCTGGAGTCCAAGACTGAGAGGAGGGAGGGTCCTTAGCCGGGATGTGGGGGGCAGGGTTGGGGTCCGAAGGCGGGAGGGTCTCACTGCTCCCTGCCCCTCCCCCGTGCCCACCCATGGTGGGTATAGGGATGGCCGGGCCGGGGCTGGGGCTGGAAGAGGGGGCCCTTTGGGGGGCTGTGGAGCTTGCCCCCCTGGGTGCCCCCAGTCTGTTGTTGTGGTGCCTGGCACAGGGCCCCTCTTGTTACAGGGCAGTGGGCTGCCTGCTGTGCCACCTCTGAGGACCAGAGCTTCTTTCCGAAGAGTGCAGATCCCAGCCAGCTGGGCGCACTGTCCGTGTCCAAAGCAAACAGGAAGAGACCGAGGAGGGACAGGCAGGGCCTCTTTCTTTGTTTGAAGAAGGGATTAAGCCAGGCTCACTCGTGGGTCTTTCTGCTGCAGGGGCCAGAGGGGGCCGTGGGCCCTGTAGGGGGCAGAGGCAGACTCAGTTTGGGGCTACGTGGTCCCTGGGTGCCAGCCTTCGGGGCACGAGCAAGACGGTCTTCCCTGGCCAGGTCCTGCTGATGGAGGGAGGGTGGCCGCACACGCTGCGTCCCTCTGAGGGCTGCTGTCTCCTCCTTCTCCATGTCCCAGCCGCCCAGCCCTGCCTGCTTGGTTCCTTGGCCGCCACTGGGGTGGTGCTGGCCAGTGCGGTGGGTGACCCACTGGCCTGGACAGGACCCCGGCGGGTCTCTAGTAGGAGGGGCGTGCCCACGGCCCCCGGGTTCCCCTGAAGGCCCCGCGCTCAGGTCTGGGCCTGCACCGCCCAGGTGACAGGGTCACTCCTGCCCACGGGCATCTGTCCGTTCTCTTCCCTCGGGCCGGCGGGGCTGACAGGCTCAGCTGGGCTGGGGCAGACGGAGGAGGCCTCCTGGAGCGGATGGCGGATGGCGTGGACGTCCGTTTGTCTGCGCATGGTTGCCATGGGTGGGGGGTCCCGAGGGGGTAGGCCGTCCTCCCCCGGCCAGGTGGACGGGGACCGCAGAGGATGTGGGCCCGAAAGACCGAGGGAAGAGCAGCCCTGCCCCGAGCCGCCCTCCAGCAGCCGTCCCCGCATGCCCCCTGCTCGCCCGGCCGGCCAGCGGCGGTGGCGGGCGCAGCCCAGGCCCCGCTCTCCGGGGCCTGCGGTGTGGGGGAGGCGGGCGCCACCCTCGTCACCCACACGGTCACCCGGGAAGCCGCGTGGAGGGCGAGGGCCTCTTGAGGAGAGGCGAGGCGCTAGCGGAGCTCCGGGAGCCGGCGGCAGCTCAGAGCGGCTCCCGAGGAAGGCGGAGGGTGGCGGGGCTCACGGGGCTGGCGGGGAGATGGGCCTGGCGGCGGGCAGCACGGGCCCCGCCGGGGCACCCCTAGGTGACCCGAGGACCTGCGGGGCGCGGCATGGCCTGGGTTGTGTGGGCAGCAGGGATGGGGTTGGGAGGCTGAGGCACCGGCCGCCGAGCAGCGCCTTCGCCCAAGGGCGGGGAGGTTGGGAGCAGAAAAAAAAAGCAAAACAGCTTATTTCATTCTAATCAGTGAGCTAATAATCGAAGACGTTTTTGGCACGAGAGGAAGGGAGGGGGCCCTGCGGGTCTCCCTGCTCGGGAGGAAATCAAGGGAGGCCGGGGTCGTCCTGAGGAGCCCGGGCAGCCTGCCAGGGACCCGGCCACTGTGTCCTTGACCCCAGCCAGGAAGAGGCCCTCCCTTCGCCGCACCGCCCCCTCCTGCTCCTGGGAGGCCTAAGGTGGTCCCTCCTGTCCTGGTGGCAGTGGGGACGTCCACGCCATCCGCCATCCGCTCCAGGAGGCCTCCTCCGTCTGCCCCAGCCCAGCTGAGCCTGTCAGCCCCGCCGGCCCGAGGGAAGAGAGCGGACAGATGCCCGTGGGCAGGAGTGACCCTGTCACCTGGGCGGTGCAGGCCCAGACCTGAGCGCGGGGCCTTCAGGGGAACCCGGGGCCCAGCCCCCCCAGCTGCTCCTGTTCCCCGGGGGCCTGCAGCCTGTGACCAGATGCTCCTTGCTCCCAGCAGGCGCCACTGAGCTGCACTCTGCCCTCTGCACGCCTTCCTGGATCCTCCGAGGCCTGGGTGGAGAAAGCCCCTTCCTCTGCCCAGCCCCACGACCTTCGCCTGTCTGAGCTCTGGTTAATTTTTGCCCAGCGTGCGGACTTCGCGCCCCTCCCTCTCTGGGATATAAGTCTGGCCCTGGGCTGCCTGGCTCCCGGCCTGGCCTGATCCTTTCCGAGCTGCCCCCCACCCTCACCATGGCCAATGGCTTCTTCATTTCCAAGACCGTGGGCATCTTGGGCATCCTCCTAGCCGTGGCGGCTATGAGCACCATCATCGCCCTGTCCGTGGTGTACGCCCAGGAGAAGAACAGGAATGACCAGGCTTCCTCAGGAAACTCCCCGTCAGTGATCCCCCCGACATCGACCCCCCCGAAAGTGACCTCCCCGACAGGCTCCACGAGCTCCTCGGCCACCACTTTGGACCAAAGCAAGCCATGGAACCGATACCGCCTGCCCACAGCGCTGATACCCGACTCCTACAGCGTGACGCTGAAGCCCCACCTCACCCCCAACAGCAACGGCCTGTACATCTTTGAGGGCAACAGCACCGTCCGCTTCACCTGCAAGGACGCCACCGACGTCATCATCATCCACAGCAAGAAGCTCAACTACACCTCAGAAGGGAAGGAAAGGGTGGTCCTGCGGGCCGTGGACGGCTCCCAGCCCCCTAACATCAGAGACACTTTTCTGGTGGAGGTCACCGAGTACCTGGTGGTGCAACTCGAGGGCTCCCTGGAGGTCAACAAGATGTACGAGATGGACAGCAGTTTTGTGGGGGAGCTGGCTGATGACCTGGCGGGCTTCTACCGCAGCGAGTACGTGGAAGATGGCATCAAAAAGTAAGTTGGGGGCCTCCCTGGTGGTGCGGGGGTTAAGTCTCAGCACTATCAAGCTATTGTGGCCTGAGTTAGGTCCCCGATACTGGCCAGGGAGCTGCCCACAGGGCGCAGCAGACCTCTCCTGTCTCCCTGCGGCTCCCCTCGGCAGTGGATTTCAGTGGGTCCACCTGTTCTGCTCCCCGCTCTGTCTCTGGTGAATCCTCTCACCCTCCACACCCCTGGCCTGCGCCCAGCTCTTATATGACTAAATACATAAAATAAATCTTAAAAAAAATAGTAAGTCGGGTCTGTGGTGGGGGCAGTCTAGATGCCAGGCAGAGCTGCATCCTGGGGCCCGGGAGGGGCATAGGTTCGAGGACTTAGAAACTTCCGGAGCCTCCATACACCTGCAGCTGCTGATGGGGCAGCCATGGAGGGCTCCCCTACCCCCACCAAGCAGGCTGCAGTGGTGAAAGTCCCCTTGGACAGCTGGGGAAACGGAGCGAGATTAGCCAGACCAGCTTCCAGGCACCTTTTCCGCTGCACGCCCAGCAGTGCACGCCCTAAAGCCCTTGCCTGCCCACCACCATGGGGCCCTGGCATTCTGTTGGCACCGCCTCTGACACCCCGGTTTGGGTAGGGTGGTGGCCACGACTCAGATGCAGGCAGCGGATGCCCGGAAATCCTTCCCGTGCTTTGATGAGCCGGCTATGAAGGCCCACTTCAACATCACCCTCATCCATCCCAAGAGCCTCACGGCCCTGTCCAACATGCTGCCCATAGGTGAGTGGGCTGTCCTGGGGCCGGGGGGCCAGGCCCCGGGCCGGGCCCGAGCACGGCCTCACAGGCCCGAGTGCTCCCTGCCTAGAGAGCCGCCCCGACGAGGCCGACCCTGAATGCAATATCACCTCCTTCGCGACCACGCCCAAGATGTCCACGTACCTGTTGGCCTACATCGTCAGCGAGTTCAAGAGTGTGGCAGGCGTGTCTCCCCATAATGTCATGGTATGCGCTGGCCGTCCTTCCCTGGTTGGCCCGGCCCGCGGGAGATCCCTGCTGATCCTCACCCTGTCCCAGCCCCGAGGGCTTGGAGTGACCATGGGAAGGGGCTTCAGTTCGCTGACCCTCGTCTGAAATGTGGGTCCCTGTTCATGGAGGGAGTGCTTCGCCCTTGGGTGCCGGGCAAGTGGCAGCTGTGACCATTACTGTCCTCCAAGGCTCCTCCCTGGGACTCAACCCCTGGGGGCTCCCAGCGCTCTCCTGCTGGCCAGGCCTTGAGTTAACCTGGGCAGTGTCCCCCGACCCTCGCCAGCCCCCTCAGGTCCTGTGGACCCCTGACCCGTCTGCATCCTCTTTGCAGATCCGGATCTGGGCTCGGCCCAAGGCCATCGACGCAGGTCATGGCGCCTATGCCCTGAACGTCACAGGCCCCATCCTCAGCTTCTTTCACAAGCATTACAATACCTCCTACCCACTCAGCAAATCTGGTAAGTGAGGGCCTTGCTGTAGTGCTGGGGGGCAACCACGTGGGGCTCCCTGCCTGGAGGTCCCTCCTGCTGACGGCCTGGCCTCCCCAGACCAGATCGGCCTGCCCGACTTCAACGCCGGCGCCATGGAGAACTGGGGGCTGGTCACCTACCGGGAGAACTCGCTGCTCTACGACCCGGACTCCTCCTCCATCGGCAACAAGGAGCGGGTGGTCACCGTGATCGGCCACGAGCTGGCCCACCAGGTACCCCGCCACTGGGAGGCCTGCAGCGAAGGGACGGGGAGAGGAGGGCCCTGGCCGGGCGGCAGGACGGTGTGGTCAGCAGGCGGCGGCACTAAGTGAAGGGCAGCTGGGGTTTGGGGGCCATGAGGCCAGGGCGGGGCTGGCTGACTCCCTGCCCCACAGTGGTTCGGGAACCTGGTGACGGTGGCCTGGTGGAACGACCTGTGGCTGAACGAGGGCTTCGCCTCCTACGTGGAGTACCTGGGAGCCGATTCCGCGGAGCCAGACTGGAACCTGGTGAGCCCGCTGCCCGGAGCGCCTGGCGTCCGGGGTGGGGGCAGGGGGACCTGGTCACCCTCCCCTGGGCCAGTTTCCTGATGGCCATCGGGGGTTTGCAGAAAGACCTCATGGTGCTGAACGAAGTGTACCGCGTGATGGCCGTGGACGCGCTGGCCTCCTCGCACCCGCTGTCCACCCCCGCCAACGAGGTCAACACGCCCGCCCAGATCAGCGAGCTGTTCGACTCCATCTCCTACAGCAAGGTGCGGCCCCCGCCTCCGCGGCGGGGGTCCTCAGATGGCGGGGACACAGGGCGGGGGTGGGGCCTCCTCACCTTGGGGCGCCTCCCCTGACCCTGACGGGCACAGGGTCCCGCTGGCCGCACAGCCTCTGAGCGCCCTCTTCCCCCAGGGAGCCTCGGTGCTCAGGATGCTCTCCAACTTTCTGTCGGAGCCCGTGTTCCAGAAAGGCCTGTCGGTGAGTACCCTTGGCCCGCCTTGGGGCCTCCTCCACCCCCTGCCTCCTGTCCCCAAGCCCCGACCTGCTACCCCGGGTGAGTGGCAGAGCCTGGGGGCCCTCACCGTGCCCATCTTTCCACAGTCCTATCTCCACACCTTTAAATACGGGAACACCAACTACTCGGACCTGTGGACGCACCTGCAGCAGGTTGGTAACTCCCAGCCCCCCTGAAAATGCTCTGTTGGGGCCCCAAGCAGGTGCTGAAAGCCCTGCGGGCAGCACCTGTGTAAGGAACGCTCCCAGCTCTCGGCTGGCCCGGGCAGGTGACCTGGGCCTTAGTCACTCTCTGGAAAACGGGGCGAGGGCTCCATGAAGGGGGTGTCAGGAGATACTGCTCCATGAGCTCAGTGGTAGGAGGGGGTGCTGTGGCTCCCAGGAGCTTTGGAGCCGTTCAGCCCCTCACACGCGCCTCCCCGGCTCCTCCCTGTGCTGGCCCAGAGCGCGGACATGACCCTCGGCCTCCGCCAGCGCAGCTCCTGTCCCTCAGACCCCGGCAGCCCCACCGTGGGGCAGGGCTTCTGATGCCCCCGCTCCCCTTCCCGCGGCCTCGCCCGGGCTGGCAGCGCACTCCCCGCCCTCCAGAGCCTGCGCCTCCCCCACTGCCCCGCCCCAGTGCCCGGGCTCCGGGGCCTCCATGCAGGGAGGAAGAGCCCGGCCTGTGACCGACGCAGCCGGCTCCCCTGGCAGCTGGTGCCTTGCGGCCTTCACGTCTGCCCGGCCTGCCTCAGTTTCCGCTCCTTCCTCCACTCCCAGGCCAGGCTCCGGCTCCACCCCCGCACCCCTCCCCGAGCTCTGACAGCCACTTCTGTCCTCCCTGCCCTGTTCCGAGGAGGGCCGTTGTCTCTCAGCAAGGGCAGGTGGCTCTTTGTTGTTACAAAGCGATGCCCAGGCACGAGAAAGGGGACAAGGACCTCAGAAGACAGTGACCGCCCCTTAAGCCCGGCCCAGCCCCCGTGTGGACGTGGCCCTCCACCCGCTCCGCTCCGGCTGTGGGTTTTCCCTCCTCAGAGCCCAGTGCTGTCCGGGCTGGGCCAGGGCGTCTGGGCGCCCCTTCCCCCACCCCCCACCTCAGGTGGGGGCGCTGGATCGATTTGCTTCATTGCTATCGCAGCCAGGCGGTTCTTGGCTGGCCCAGCTGGACAGCAAGGGTTGGCAGAGCCAGTCCAGCTGCCCCCCGCAGAGAGGGAGGGGCTGCCCGACGGGTGGGGAGGGGCTGGTGGTCGCTGAGACTCTCCGTTCCGCCCTAGGCTGTTGTCGAGAGTAACGTCCAGCTGCCTAACACGGTGAGCGACATCATGGACCGCTGGATCCTGCAGATGGGCTTCCCGGTCATCACGGTGGACACCAGGACAGGGGACATCAGCCAGAAGCACTTCCTCCTTGACCCCGAGTCCAACGTCACCCGACCCTCGCAGTTCAAGTAGGCGGATGGCAGGGTCCCGGCCGGGGAGGGGCTGCTGGCAGGGCCCCCTCTCGGGGGTGCTGGGAGCCCTGGCAGGGCCGCTCTGGTCACCAGGGGCCTGTCTCACCCTGGCCTCCCTGTCTGATTTGCAGCTACCTGTGGATCGCGTACATCACATCTATGAAAAATGGCCAGGAGCAGAAGCCCTACTGGATGCCGGGCCAAAGCTCAGGTAATCCAGCCCCTAGAGAGCCGCCGCCTGCTCCTGGCGCACGCCTGTGCTCCCGGGGTCTCCCAGGGCTTCCGCATCCGTTCATTCAGCCAGTGGAGCAGACTCCACGCTGCTGCCTCCAGCTGTGTGGCCCTGGGCGAGTCACCATCCTTCTCTGGTCCTCCAATTCCTCGTCTGTAAAATCTGTAAAGCAGGGCTAGAGCCCGCCTCTGCTCCCTCGGGCTGTGCGAGGGCGGAGAGAGAATGCAGTGGCTGTTTGAAGCAGCGCTGGGCACTCAGTGTGGGTGGCCCTGCTCTGCCAGACGCTGCGGGAGCCGAGGACGAGGCGCAGGTGAAGGGAAGGAGAAGGCAGGTACCCAGAGGTGTGCCGGCTGCTGAACAGGCGTGTGTGGCTGGGCTGCCGGGACCTGGGAGTAGGGAGCTGAGAAGAAGGAAGACTGACTTTACGTCAGGGAAGGCTTCCTGGAGGAGGTGACGGAGTTCTAGAAGAGTAAGAGTTAGCCAGGTAAAGGCAGCAGAGAAAAGCATTTCAAGTAGAGGGAACAGAAAGAGCAAGTGCAGAGACAGGAAAGCTGGGGGACAGGGTGCGGATCCCTCCCCGAGGCTGCAGGAGACAAAGGCTGCTCCTCAGGACAGGGGGAGCCAGGCCAGGTGGGAAGGGGTGGCCTGCAGGTGGGAAGGGGTCCTGGAGCTGCCAGGATGGAAGGAGAGCTGTGAGGTGGGGGACTCAGAGCCCCAGGAAGAATGAGCCCCATGGGGTGTGCCTGGGCTGCGTGGGAGGCAGCTCTTGCTGGCTCCCGAACGGAGGAGGGCCGGGGGTCCGCCTGTGGCCTTCCGAGAGCCCCGCCCCAGCCCCATCTCCCCCTCAGCCCAGAACAATGAGTTCAAAACCGTGGGTAACGACTGGCTCCTGCTGAATATCAATGCGACGGGCTATTTCGTGGTGAACTACGACGCAGACAACTGGAAAAAGATTCAGCAGCAGCTGCAGGATGATCATTCGGTGGGTGTCCACCCCGCTTGCCTCGTGCTCACCTGCCTGCTCAGGCCCAGCCGGTGCCCCCGCCTGCAGGCCCGAGGTCACACGCTCTGTTGCCCCTTCTAGGTCATCCCTGTCATCAATCGGGCCCAGGTCATCCACGATTCCTTCAACCTGGCCAGGTAAGCGCCCCCATCCCTCTCTGGCTCAGGTAGATTGGAGGTTGGGCAGGTGGGTTCCATAGTGAGAGTCAGTACCCCCTAGTGCGTGCCCAGCACAGACCGTGGCTCCGGGGCCCCGGCATCGTGAGCCTCACTGCCCACTTTTCCGGAAAAGGTGTCTGAGACTCGGACTCTGAGTACCTGGCCCGAGGTCACCCAGGCCGTGACAGCCAACACGGGCCTGTCGAGCTCCACGAGCTGGCTGCACAGACCCCGCCCTCTGGGAACATGGCATGATTTTTTTTTTAAGATTTATTTATTTATGCATGAAAGAGCTGGGGTACAGGCCAGAGGTGCGGGGAATGAGAGGATTCACCAGAGACAGAGTGGGGAACAGAACAGGCAGACGGACCGAAATCCACTGCTGAGGGGAGCAGCGGGCGAGTCAGGAGAGGTCGGCAGCGCCATGTGGGTAGCTCCCTGGCCAGGGATCGAACTCGGCTGTGGATAGCGTCACAGTGCTGTGCTTAACCCTTTGCGCCACCAGGGAGGCCCAACATCGCATAACTTACGTGGAAAAAATTTGAGCATTCCCGGACCTATAAAATAGCCGATCAAAGCAGAGCAAATGGGAATATTTGTCTTTGGGGTAGCAGAGGAGCCCGTGCCTCTGACAGGCACCTTTCCTGAGGGCTGACTGTGTGCCAGGCGCTGTGCCAGGCGATTAGAGACCCTGGGGAGGACAGGGCAGGGGAGGGGCGGCCTGGATGAGCAGGTGTTTATAAAGCACGGCCGAGCTCCCGGCAGGTGCTAAGCGGGGGTGACACCCTCAGACCCGGTGTCTCTAGACCAAGTGGGTGTGTCTGACCCACGGCCTGAGCAGCAGGGCAGGGAGGCCCAGAGGGCCAGCAAGGCAGAGGCAGAGCAAAGAGCTCCGATTTTTGTCGGTTGAATCTCAGCTATCTCCTTTGGGCCGTGTGGCCTCCGGCAAGTCACTTCACCTCTTTGAGCCTCAGTTTCCCCATCCGCACAGTGGGGACCATAAGCAGGAGTAGGTGGCTAGCCAGGCAAGGGCAGTGCCTGGCCGCCTGGCCCCATTCAGCACCCACGTCCCCGGCCTGGTGAAGGCTGGCGCTGGCTCTGTTGGGGCCCTGCAGCCCCAGGGCTCCAGGAGGGACACTGGCTGGACTGAGTGGGTGCTTATTTGGGCTCCTCTGTTTGTCCCCAGTGCCGAAATTGTCCCTGTCACCCTGGCACTGGACACCACCAACTTCCTGAATGCTGAGACCGAGTACATGCCCTGGCAGGCGGCCCTGGACAGCCTGAGCTACTTCAAGCTCATGTTCGAAACCTCCGAGGTCTATGGCCCCATGAAGGTATGGACGGCGCGGTCAAGCTGCGGGGGCTCAGCTGGAGGCCCATCTTTCTCCAGCTGTGTGGCTTTGGGCAACCCTCAGGCCCCGGGGGGCCCCTCTGCCATGAGGCTCCCCCTAGGGAAACCCAGACTTGATCTGGATGGAGCTGGCGCCCTCAGCAGGCTGTTTATAAAAGAGCAAAGAAAGCCCACCGCACGCGCGTGGCCTCAGGCTCGGATAATAAACTGGACCCCCCACCTGATGGATTCCTGGGTAGCCACTAGGTCACACCTGGAGAGGCCCTCCCCACAGTTTCCTGCATCCGTGACCTCAGGGAGACGGGGTCACAGTAGGTGGACTGGGTGTCACCCATCACCTCCCGGGCTGTGTTCAGCACCTGCTGCCTCAGAGCCGAGTCAGTGCTCAGCGTCCCCGCAGCGCGCTGAGGGGTCTCTGGCCCGTCGAGGGCCTGTGCCAGCGTCCTTTCTCCCGTGCCACAAAACATCAGGGGGCGCTCGCTGTGCTTCCTCTGGGGCTGCCGCTCAGCCCCGCTTTCCCGAAGCTGTGGCCCCTGCCGAGGTCTCCCTCTTGTCGGGGAGCTTAACTCCCAGGAGTTCTGGAAAGGGTTTGTGGGAGGTGAGCTTGTGAGGGTGCAGGCCAGATGTGCGGGGGGTGAGAGGACTCACCAGAGACAGAGTGGGGAGCAGAACAGGCAGACTGACTGGAACACACTGCTGAGGGGAGCAGCAGGCGAGACAGGAGGGGTCTGCCGTGCCATGTGGGTAGCTCCCTGGCCGGGGATCGAACTTGTGATGCAGAGGCTGCAGACGCTTCATAGGTTGCGTCTTAACCCCTTGCGCCACCAGGGAGGCCCCAGGTGGATTTTTTGGGACAGATTTTCTGAAGTCTTCGGTGCATCTTCACGTTGGTGTCGAAGACTCTAGGTTGGAACTTATTCCTTGCAAGTGTTGGGTCTGGCTTCACCCAGGCGGGTCTGTGGTGTCGCTCTCGAGACCTCGGGGCCATCCTCGACGCGGGTTCCCTGACGGTGGCCACTCCCCACTCCGGGAGCTGTGCCCCTCCGCCCCAGGGGCCTCCGTGTGGGGTCCAGGTTCTCTCTGTGAAGCTGCTCATGGTCTCTTCTTCCTAGCACTACCTGGCGAAGCAGGTCAAGCCCCTCTACGATCATTTCCAAAATATCACCAATAACTGGACCAACCGTCCAGCAACGCTGATGGACCAGTGAGTATGACCCCTCAAGGATCAAGCCACAACCCCTCCCCCTCTGGAGCTCCCAACTCCTGGCCAGGCTGGAGGCTCGGGCAGGGGGGGTCCCCACCCCACCCATGCGTAGGAGGCCCTGCTCGAGCTTGTGGGACCTGTGGGCCCCTTTGGCTTCCTTGTCCAAAGGACCGAGCTCAGACTCCCAGGTCGTCTCACCAACGTGCGGTCACTTCCACGCCTGGGCTGGAGCCTGTGCTGGCCCCTCGGGGTCCCCAGGAGCCTGAGGGTCAAGGAGTGTCAGGCTCCAGGCCCAAAGCGCTGGAGACACCCCAGAGGGCTGGGGGGTGCTGGCTTGGAGTCAGGCCTGGCCCCTTGCCTGTCTACAGGGGACTCCTCAGGGTCCTGGGCTCAGGGTCCAGGCGTGCTGACCGCGTGTCCCCCGGGCAGGTACAACGAGGTGAACGCCATCAGCACCGCCTGCTCCAATGGGCTGACTGAGTGTCACATGCTGGTCAAGAAGCTTTTTGAAGATTGGATGAATAAGCCTGATGCTAAAAACCCGTGAGTGTATCCCCTCCCCCGACCCCCGCCCTCACCCGTCCCCAGCCCCAGCCCCAGCCCCCCGCGTTTCTGCCCCTGACGCCCGGCTCTGCGCCAGGATCCACCCCAACCTGCGGTCGGCCGTCTACTGCAACGCCATTGCCCTGGGGGGCGAGAGGGAGTGGGACTTCGCCTGGGCGCAGTTCCGGAACGCCACCCTGGTCAATGAGGCCGACAAGCTCCGCTCGGCCCTGGCCTGCAGCAGAGAGCCCTGGATTCTGAGCAGGTGGGGAGCCCCGGGACTCCGAGGCTCGGCGCCGGGGAGCAGCTCGCCCCGCGGAGGCTCCCGCACGCCAGGGAGCCACTTGCCAATGCCCGACAGCCCTGCCTCCCTGCCTTGAGGGTACCTCGGTTTCCCGCTCTGTCAAGGGCTCTGGCACAGCCAGACCTCAGCCCTTCCAGCGTCCAGCAGAGCACCCCCAGCCCTGCGTGCCTCGGGTGCCCTCCCCTGGACCCCAGGAAAGAGTGGCCCCCGCATCTGGAGCCGGGCACCACCCCGGGGCCCCTCCTTCCTCTGCTCATCGTCACGTGGCTTGTAGCCGCGACCCTGCTCGAGGCTCAGCGTCCCGTCTGCAAGGGGGCGGGAGGGTCCAGGGGTGTCCCGCCCTCATGCACCGGGAGGGAGGTGCAGGGGGGGTCCGGCGTCTGCGCCCTCTCATGGAACCCCGCCCTTGCAGGTACCTGCGCTACGCCCTGGACCCCAGCCTCATCCGGAGGCAGGACGCCACCTCCACCATCAGCAGCATCGCTGGCAACGTCATCGGGCAGGAGCTGGCCTGGGAGTTCGTGCAGAACAACTGGAAGAAGCTGTTTGAGGAGTGAGTCTGGGGGGGCTGCGCGGGGAAGGGCGCGCCGAGGCAGGGTGTGGGGGCTGCGGCGCCCCGAGCCCAGGGGCGATCTTGGTGCCCCGGATGCTGCAGCGGGGTGGGCAAAATGAACCAGGCTTAGGGGTGGCAGGAATTGGGACCGGGCGGGTGTGGGGTGCCCACGCGCGCTCTCAAGAAGGAGGCGGACGCAGCAGCCACCCCTGCCTCCAGCCCCTCGCACCGTCTCCTGAGCAGTCGTCTCACTGGGGACCCCTCTGGGGGCCACCCAAAGGGTGGGGGGCAGCGGCACCTGCCGCCCGAGCGCTGCTTTCTGGCACCCTCACGGCCCTTTCTCCTGCTGCAGTTTCGGCGGCGGCTCCTTCTCCTTTGCCAACCTCATCCAGGCGGTGACCCGGCGATTCTCCACTGAGAACAAGCTGGAGCAGGTAGGGAGCCGGGCCCCGGCCCTGGGCCACAGGGCGGCCACCCCCGGGCCAGCCAGCACCCCGCGCGCTGGGCAGACCCCGGCCCAGCGACGGGGAAGCCTGGTGCCCGGACTAAGATGGTGACCGTTCAGGAGCACGGGTCTCCTCGGGATGTTTGCAGACACGAGCGTGAAGAAAATAAAATGAAAATAATGAAGAAATGAAACAATAATAAAACATACCCAGCACCCCGATTGAACACTTACCAACATTTCCCCCACGATTTTTGGGGGTGAACATTTTTCAAGAAAACACTGATAGATAATTTCATCTATAAATACGTGAATCACTCTCTCGCCTGGCTGCCCGGCCTCGGCCTCCGCCCTGACCGCCCCGGAGCACCTCTTACTGGGCAACGCTCGTTTGAAAGCAATGTCTTCCCAATGGAAAGCAATGTCTTCCCAGTGCCTTCCGGCCACTGCGGCCGAGCGTTAGTCCTGTAGAAACGCCCCCTCTGGGCTCGGCTGGCTGCTGCTTGCGGCGTCTCCCTCCCTTGGGCTAGACTGAGACTAGTTTGATTAAAAACGGAGGCTGCGCTCCGGGCCACGCCGTGAGGATCCGAACCCTTCAGGAGCGGGTGAAGCCGGGCTGCCGGGCTCCGCAGAGGTGCCCACCGGCCCTAGAGAAGGACGTGGCCCCAGGGGTGGGGCTGGCTGTCCTGGGGAGCAGGCCGTGGTGCCCAGCCCCTCGAGGGAGGCCTGAGGGCTGGTAGAGCCGGCCTGGGGCTCAGGCTCTTTGCTTTCCCGGCAGCTGGAGTGGTTCAAGGAGAAAAACAAGGACACGGGCTTCGGCTCGGCCACCCGGGCTCTGGAGCAAGCCCTGGAGCGGACGAAAGCCAACATCAAGTGGGTGCAGAAGAACAAGGCGGCCGTGCTGGAATGGTTCACCACCCACAGCAATTAGTCCCCGGCGCTCCACCCGCCTGGCCCCGTGTGCACCTGCGCCGTGGCCCAGGCCAGGCCCCTCCTGCAGCTCGAGGCCCCAGCGTCTCCCCTCAAGGACGAAGTCTTGGGTCCAGGTTCTCTCCGCACTTCCCCCGGGGTCAGCCCTGTTCCCGATGTCCAGGCTCCTGGCCCCTCCCAGCCCCTGCCCCTCGAGCTGCCCCACCCCAGGCCTGGCATGTGCCCGGCACCCAGAGCCCGGGGCCTGATCTCAGGGAAACACAGCTCTAGGCCCAGGTGACCAGGTGGACAATGAATGGCCCTGGGGTCTGCCCCGTGCCCGCTCTCGCGTCCCATGAAACCCTGAACCGGAGGAAGCAACAGAGCACCAGATCTGTATATTTTTATCTAAGAGAAAATGTAAATAAAGGTAACTAGCTGAGCTTCTGTCTCTTCAAGCGAGAGTGAGGGTGAGTTGCAAGCAGCGAGGAGACTGGGATGGAGGACCCTGGATGGATGGGATGTACTTGGGGGCCCAGGACCCTCGGGGAGCACCAAGGGAGCACTCACTTTTCGTCAGTCCTACATAATGCCCGTTGACCAAGTTCATTCCATCCCAATTGCCGTGCAGGCTGAAGAAGCTGAGTGTTGGGGAGTCCTGGGGAAGCTGGGGCACCCGGGATGGCAACCGGATACTGGTTTCCTGGGTGGAGGGGGCCAGCTGGGCCTGGTACCCGGCAGAGGGCTGGTCTGTTCACTGTTCCCTAGTTCCAGAAGCTAGCTAGGGTGTGCACCCACCCGGAGGTGAGGCCAGGCAGCAGGGTGGGGTGCTGGTGGATGCCTCCGCACTCCACCCAGCCCACCTGGGGCCCTGGAGGAGGGGTCTGTAGTGAGGGCTGCCTGCCTGGGGCCCTGGCCTGGGGCCACGCCTCCTGGGCCTCTCTGACCGTGTGGATCAGTTTGTACCCTAGCTGTTTCAAGAGGAGCTCACAAAAAGCCGCTGAGTGTTAGGGGAGGCCACCGTGGGCCAGCCAGCACCCCACGCACTGGGCAGACTCCACCAACCTTTTATGAGCCCATAAAAGGGGGTTGTGCAACCCGGGTCACCTGAGGGGGTCGGTGGAGCAGGCCTGGCTCATGGGCGTGTGGCTCACCTTGTCCTTGGCGGAGTTTCCTGGCAAAGAGCCAGGTTGGAGGAGCAGCTGGGCCTTGGCCTTGGCCTTGGCCTTGGCGTGCGACACCCCGCTGAGCTTTCAAGGCTGGTGGAGGCGCCGCTGGAAGGCAAGCCCTGGTGATGACCAAAATGAGGCCTCAAACCCGGAAGCCGGCAGGTTGACTCTGCGGCGTTTCAGCCATGACCAGTTTGCCTTCAGCGGCCACTCGCTGCAGAGCAGCCTGCGTGAGGGCGGCAGGACCCGCTGTTTCTTGTGATTATCCTGCCCGGGACTCCCGGTTTCCTTTATAGGGTCAGGCCTTCCCGCGGCCCTGACCTAAAGAGATGTTGCCCGCAGAGAAGGACACAGATGGGGCCGGGAAGGCTGGGCCCCGGTGCGGGAATCTAGCCGGTTGCCTGGTCCTCACGGAGGCTGGAGTCTGTCCCACGGGTGCAGGCGCTTCCCTTTCCCACGTCAGGCCTCGCAGAGGGCTATGCTCTCCCGCCTGCTGGACCAGGGGCCCAGGATGTCAGGGTGTTGACAGAGGGCGGAGGGAGGTCACAGACAGCCCCGGGTGCCCTGGGGTCACCTCCATGGGATGCTATAGCAGGGAGCTGAGGGCTGGATTCCCGGGGTCCTTGGGGCTGGTTTAGAACTCAGCTCTGCCCCTGGCTGGGCTCCCATCATGGTGGGAGCTGTGTGGCTATCGGGTAGGTGGGTGGGGTCTCTTGGCTCTGCAGCCCTCTTCCTTCACAGCCTCTGCTCCTGAGAGAAGCTGGGGTGCCTGGGGCCTGTTGAGAGGTTCCCCCTCTCCAGTGTCATCTGCACGTCAAAGGGTGGGTGGGCCAAAGGATGGGGACTATCCCTGGTCATGATGGTTCCAGGAAGAGTCAGCAGGGACCCCAGTTCTGGAGCCCACTCTGGCTCTGTGCTTATGCACATGATGTAGCTTCGTTCTGAGGTCCTGCTGGTTCTCAGGGTCCTGCTGATGTCAATTCATCTTGGCTTTGCAGACAAGGGGTCATTAGCAGGGATCGAGAAGGCAAGCCCAGCACAGGCCTGCGCTGGGTGGATGGCGTTCCTCCAGGGCAGCTGCAGCCAGGTAGCAATGCCCCCAGCTCACGTGTTCCTGGGGTCACCCGACAGCTACAACCAGGCATTCCTAAAGCCCCATGGCTGGGGACCATCCATGCCAGGCCTGCCAAAGGACAGGCAGAGCCAGAAGCCCGCCAGGTGGCAGTGGTAGGGTTCATGCTCAGGCCTGGGGGGGCAGGATCAGCAGAGGGTGGGGGAGGACTTGCCTGGCTGTGCCAACCTCCAGCCAGCCTGGCCTGATCCCGCTCTTCTCCAGGACTCAGTGCCCACAGCGGGAACTGGCATGTCGGCCACGCTGCCGGGCACCGAGAGGGCTGAGTGAGGTCATCAGGAAGTGTCTAGTCTCTTAGAGACAGTGACTGGGGCCCCTGGTCACCCCACCGACCTTCCCTCCTTGGTCAGGCATTTAGGAGAGGGGTGAGTCCAGAGAGCAGCCTGGGAGGGACCCGTGGCCCCAGGGAGGAGACAGGCTGAGGCTTCTCTCCCAGAGGGTAGGGACTGAAGGTGGGGTTCTGCAAGCCCCTGGGCCTGGCCCCCATCACTCCGAGCTCATGCAGGATCTCTGAGCTGGGGGACAAGGCCATCAGTGCCGATTGGAGCAGGGACACCTCCACTGTCTCTGTAGGGACTCACCCCAGATCCAGGGGATCCCGAGGAGCTGGGGCAGCTGTTGGGTTTCACCTTTGGTGCAGTCAAGAAGTCAAGGCCTTGGGTCTTCTTGGGAAGGGGGAAGCACTGGGCCAGGAGTGAGGGGGCAGCTGCCACATGGGTGCATGCCAGGCTAAGCAGAGGCCTGGGGTTCTCCTGGGCCTGTCCCTCAACTGTAAAGTGAAGGGTGAAGAGGCCGGGCTTCAACACCCCCAGGGAGGCCACCACACTGACATTTGTGCTTGGGGCCAGGCCCTGACCCGATGGCTCCGCACGCAGCCAGAGAGGGGGCCGGCCTGGGTCGTCTCAGGTCACGAGAGCAAGGAGATGGCTCGCTGCCCACAGCCACACAAGCAAGAGCTGGATGGGGTGACCCTGGAGCTGTTGCTTCGCCCCCCCATCTGTGTGTTTTGCTATGGCGGCCCCGGGCAAAGGAGTCACGGAATGGGGGAGCCACCCACAGCATCCCTTGAAAACTCTTTTGCGCCGTCGTGATCCCAGATGGCAGGCTCCGGGCTCCCCCCCACCCCCCCGCAAGGCCCTGACAGCTGTCCGTAGCTGTGCGCTCCCTACGGGGCAGCCGGGAATGGAAAAGGGCTGTGGGCTGGGCTGGGGCAAGGGACAGGCCTGAGCTCACCCAGCGGTGCCCCCACCCCAGGGCAGAAGTCCTGTCACCCCTGGGAGGCCTGGATCCCACGTGGGATGGGAGCATTTTCCCTCTCCTAGGGGCAGTAAAGACCCAGGCTGGCACGGAAAACAGACCAAACCAAACACCGTCTCGCCTATTTTTCTTTTTTTATAAAGGTACAAAAATCTAAGCACACAGGCTTCCGGTCAAGTGTCACCAAGAGCGGCGTGTGGGGCCTGCACCCCTGCTCCCGGGGCCACTCCCTCACCAATCCCTGCCCAGCTTCCTTTGTGGGGAGGCATCCTGATGTTACTGAAGCTCAGACCAAGCAGCAGCTGCTTAGGGGTGCCCCAGCCCCCACTTCGGCCAGGGGCCCACCCTATTTGCATCAAACACTCCCAAACAACATTTGGAAAGGCAGGGCCGGGAAGGGGCCCAGCCCCCAGGCCTGGGTCCTGCGGAGAGGGGCGCTAGTAGAAGAGGTGCAGGTGGGGCCCCTCCACATCTTCTGGCCAAAGTTCAGGGTCACCACTGAGCCGCAGGCCTGCGCTCTGGGGAGGGCTGTCATCACCCAGCTGCAAGGCAGGGCCAGGGGGCTGGTCCCCTGGGCTCCAGAGCACCAGGGCGCTGGGGTCCCAGCAGCCCCACTGCGGCTGCGGCTGCGGCTGCGGCTGGAGCCTCCCGCATGCTGGGCGGGACAGGAGGGCCGGCGTTTCTGGCAGGAGGCAGGACTCCGGAGACACAGCCATCCCCTGCAAGGCAAACAAGGGCGCAGGTGAGTGGCCGCGGCCGATGCCCAGGTCTGGCGCCTGGACCTCCGGGAGTGTGGCGGCCGCCGCCTGCCCCAGCAGCGGCGGGAAGCCTCGGGAGGGCGCCCGGCCCAGCTCTGCCCTCCCCAGCTGCCCCCGCGCACGTCGCCTTCGGGCTGTTCTGGCAGCATCCCTAACGGGGTGACCCGCCGACTCCCCGCTGCTGGCGGCCGAGGGGCGGTGGCCCAGGCGCCGGGGTGGGTGGGCACCGAGGGCGGCCCCCGCGTGCAGTTGCGAATGCGCGTTCCGCGGCCGTGATTCGCGCCTCTGAGGGCGGCCGGGGGACCCCGAGGTCACGCGTCCAGCCATCTCCTCAGGAGACCCCTGCCCCCGGGTCCCGGGGACCTCCCAGGGCCCCGACGCTCACGAGAGCCCCGCGACCCGGCCCGTGCGCAAGGCGGTGCGCTGCGCAGACGGGGCTGCCAGGGGAGGCCTCAGCCCGCCGCCCCGGCTCTCCGCGCCCCCAGCCAGGGACTGACGCGGGGACCCCGGCGCCAAGAGGGCAGGGCTCGGCGCGGGCCTACCTGGCGCGGGGCGGCCGGCTCCGGGGGCGCTGGGGGCGGCGTCCAGGGCGCGGCCTGACCCCCGAGCTCCGGGGCGGTCCGCGCCGCGGGGCAGGCTTGGGGCGGCCAGAGCCGCGCGCCGGGGGCTCCCGCTCGGGCCGGCGGGGCGCCGTCGGGGGGAGCCCCCCAGGGGCCGGGCGCGGGGGCGCCGCGGGCGGGGCAGAGCGGGCAGGCGCGGGGGGCGCCGCGGCCCAGCAGCGCGGACAGGTGGCCGATGTAGCGCACGGCCAGGCGCAGCGTCTCCACCTTGGTGAGGCTCTGGCCGGCGGGCGCCAGCGACGGCGGCAGGAAGCGGCGCAGCTCGAGCAGCGCGCGCGCCAGGGTGCGCATCCGCAGCTTCTCGCGCTCGCTCGCGCTCTGGCGGGGCCCGGCGCGGGGCGCGGGGCGCGGGGCGCGGGGGGCGCGGGGCGCGGGCGCGGCGCGGGCCGGGCGGGCGGCGGGCGAGGGGCCGCGGGCCGCGTCGCAGGGGCAGGAGCCCGAGGAGTCGGAGGAGGAGGCCGGGGACGCGGAGTCCGCGTGGCCGCCCCAGCCCCAGCCCGGGGGCAGCGTCCAGGGCTCGGCGGGGCCCGGCGCGCCGGGCGGCGGGGGCGACGGGGGCGACGGGGCCATGCCGGGGCGGGCTGCGCGCCGGCCGCCGCGCCGGCCTTTATGCGGCCGAGGTGCGAGGGGCGCCCCGCGGGCTCCCGGGAG